AAAAAATAAATGAATAATTTGTACTAAGATTTTATTTTAGTGTCTAATACCATGCGAAAGAATATTTAATGTTTGATATCTAATCGATGATTATGTAAATGATTTAAGGATAGTATCTACTGGAGTTTTCTTATAGTATTTCTAGTAATTCAATATTATGTAGTCTATTTTCATAATAATATGATCTTTGAACGTTTAAGAAATAGATAAATTTCGCAAAGAAATCTATTTAGAAATGTTGATGGATATGAAACTAATTTTTAGATGATGAAAACATTGGTATGTTGATTATATTTAAACAATTGGAACTTTCCATTGAAAATGATATAAATTTAAATCAGAATTAAATATCTTACAACAAATGAGTATTTTTAGAGATTTAAGGTTTAGTTTGAGTAACTTATTGGATTCGAAAAAAGATCAAGAATATAATATGACCCGAGATCATATGTTAATTAAATCGGTCTAAACAACAATTTTTATTAATATATTTTCCTCATTTCTAATAAAATGTAGGAATAGATACTTATATTATCAATGAATAAATATACTAATCGACGTTCTTGGATCTATTCTGTTCAGGTTCTTGTTTTTCTTGATCGATCACGCAAGATTCTTTTTAATCCTGAAGATCAGACAAGATTCTTTTAACAGAAAAAGAAAAAAAGAATCTTGTCTGGTAGATCAAGAAAAACATGAACCTGAAGAGAATTGCAAGATAATTAAAATTTCTTGGAATTCAGATGAGATTCTTTACACAAAAAAGAAAAAAAAGATTCTTATTTGATCTTTAAGACAGATCACGTGATGTCTTTGTGTACGTGTATCTATGTATATATAGATACCAACATTCGTAGAATATATTCATTTTTAAATAGCAACAAGTAATGGCTGTTGTATTCACTTAAATGAACAGTAGACATGCTTGTCAAACAACGTATGATTTGCATGTCAACAACAGGTAAGTGAAATATTTGATAGTAAAGATGAATTCATTAGCACATTAATGGCTTATATTATAGCTGATTTTAGAGTTTTCGAAAAACAACTTAATTACAGCTACGGCTTAGCGACGTGTCAATCATTATCAATTCCAAGTGATAAATATGAAGAAAACGAATTGTAATAATAAATAGATATTTTTAGTGTAAATTATTTATTTGTATTATTTACTGTTTTTTCTAATAAATAAGTAAAATTCAAGAAAAAAAAAGAAATTATACAAGAAATATAAGTAAAAAGAATCAGGCAAGAATATCCAGAAAAAAAAGAATCAAGCTGATATTCAAGAATACAAGAATCTTGACTGATAACCAAGAAAATCAAGCATCTGGAAAGAACGATGTCAAGATCGTCGACTAGTGTAGAACATAACTAATTGAAATTATAGGATTTGATTTAATTATTTTATGTATAATGAAGAAAAAATTTTGTTTGATCAGATGATTGACAATTGAAGAGGAAACAAATAACTTCAATAAAGATTTTGTTTGAATATTTAATGACGATTTGGAAATAAGGACTGAGACTAATTAATAACAAAACTGGAGATGACAGCTGGCATCAATGGTTCAAAACATTCGTCGATTCAGATAGTTACTCAATTAACAGATTAAATTTGGAATTTTTTTCGTAATTTAGTTGATTGATATGATTGAAGATTATCGAGAAAACAAATAATTTTAACAAACTCCGAATATTTTACTCAATGCCTTTCATGAATGCAATATAACACTGCTATGGTGTTCTTCAAAAAATTCACCAAGAAAAGTCCGGTATTCGTTATCAAAACTCGTTTCTTTTGAATCTTCATTGACAAAATAGATTTTGTAACATATTACAAAGATTATCGAAATACTGAGAAAATAAACAGTAGACAGCATTGGCAAAAAAATCGAGTTCTGTTGGTGCAATGCGAGCGAAAGGTATAAGCCGTTAAAATGGAATCAGCAAAAATTTTTATAGTAATACGACCAAAAACATCGTTCTTCTAATTCTCACAATGAAAAAAAGATATGATCTAATGTTCATAACATTGTATGTGTATATCATGGTTCTGTAATAAAATGACAGATATCTGGAGTATATGTTAATGAGTACAATGCTGTCAAAATAGAAAAAAATCATGTTGTTTAACATTGTTATAATAACCGTGTCTAACGGAAGATATCAAGAAGACGTTACATTCGACACACATGCTAATAATCAAGGTCTAAAATAATCACTTACTTATTATCTTTTATTTTCATTTTACTAAGTATTAGTTGTGTCACGTGTCTATTGTTTCTTTTTTTCCATCTTTCTAACAATATCAAGACGAGAAAATCTCGACGAAAATTGTCAAAACAAGCTTCTTTCAACAAATATTTTTGTTATTGACAACAATTCGATTGCAACTAAGACATTCACACCAGTTATTCTCATTTCATCAACAGCAATTCTGAATTAATATTTTATTCAACGACAACCGATAATAATATTGAAAAATGTTCTTACAGTTTTTGCATCGTGTGCCAGTACTATTGGAAACCAAATATATTAATATTGTGTGAAATGGAACAGAAATCAAAAGAATTATTTAGCTCAGTTCTATTTACCAGTTGGAGTAACGTTCTATAAGACAGTAGAAGACAAATGATACATTCGCGATCTGAATTTCGTCTAATTGCAATTGAAAAGGACAAGTTCTGATAACAAGAAGAATTCGTCGTCAATCAATTATTATCGGTAAGTGAAACACAAAAAAGCAAAGAAAATAGAGATCATTTGAATGGTATACTTGATTGGTCTTATTTTTTACTCAAAAATGAATTACCATACCCAACGTTGTATAATGCATTGTTACAACTAATCTCCCGCCGTGATCACAGCGGTAATCTTACCGCTTTCTTTGATAATTGCAAAAAGAATGTCACTTATGATAGTACAACATCAGTTACTGAACTGCACGAAAGTATAAATAAAGTTCTCGAAAACAATATTCTCAGTGCAACATGACATGCAAGAGTTATTGGTACTATGTCTGACGAGGAAATAAATACCTACAGATGCAGAAATCAATGTATTTACATCAAGATTTGTGATCAAATGGCTAGTGAACCGATTGAAATAGATGTAGGTTTCAGAGATGTCCATCGCGGCTCAAAATCTGCCACTGCCGCGCCGCGGCCAAAATCAAACAAAGCTGCCGCGACGCTCCCGCGACGCGATGGCCTGTTAAAAAAAGCTACCGCGCCGCTGCTGCGACGCGCCTTAAAAAAAACTTGCCGCTACCGCGCCGCTGCCGGGCTGGTATTCGAAAAAATGTTTTGATTTTCAAGGCTTTGACTGGTTTGAAATAGAACTGATGCCGCTAATCGATCAGATTCGGTAAGTCTTACAGTATAGCATACATAAACATGCAGATTCTGTGCAAATTCATGAATTTTTGGAATTTTTTCCTAAAAAGCTGCCGCCGCCGCGCTGCTGCCGCGACGGCAAAATAAAAATCTTTCCCGCGCCGCTGCCGCGCCGCGATAGTTTTTGGAAAAAATCTGCCGCTGCCGCGCCGCCACCGCCACGGCTGCAGCGGCAGCGCCGCGATGGACATCTCTGGTAGGTTTGTTACACTTAAAAAACCGAGATTGATACCGCCGTGTGCAATTTTGCAGTAGTATTCGTTCATTAATTATCAAGCTGATGCATTATAATCAGCCGTAACATCTACAGTTGATCAGCTTCTGATATCTGTAAAGGTTTATTCATTTTTAAAGCATTATTTAATTTTATTGATAGATCATCAGTGTGATTAGTTTTATTTGAACATATTCAAAATATTTTTCGAACTCAACATATTTAATTATTTCAATTTGGTGATAATCATTGGCTTTCTAATTCAATTACTATTCAATCTCTCTTACATTTCTCTACATCATTATTAACTATACTGAAACATGTCTCTTATAAGAAGTATGAAGATAGTGCAGAAGCTTTCAATCTTCGTCAGATGTTATCGAATCCATCGATTGCATTTATTCTTCAGATACTTGAGTCTGTGTTAGATAGTCTACCATCTATTATCAAAATCCAATGAAACCAAAACAGCTGATTTCAAACAACAACAGAATTTTACAACATCGACTATGTTGTGGCAGCGATTGTGACAAACCAATCATTTATGAATGTGAAAATAAAGACTTAATGAGAGGTATGTGTGAAAATCGTTCGAAATAGTACTTTAACAGATGTTTATTCTCAACTCTCATTAGCTGCAGAGATCTTACTCATCGCACGTATTAGGATGACTATAGTAGAACGAGATTTTTCTAAAATGAGTCTTATTCTTACAAAGTTGAGGAATTGATGAACAACCGAACATTTTAATCAATTGATGAGGAATTTAATTCAATCTACAGTCACTGTAAATGAAGATATCAAAGAAATCAATTGTTAGAAATCAAAATAATCACGTCATTTGGTAGTTTAAAATATATAATATTGGTCTTTACATTGATCTTCTTATATGCTTTTATATTTTGTATTTTCTTGCTGGTATGGTTTATATTGCTTGATAGATTTTTATCTTTTTGTGCATTTTGTTCTTGATATACCTTGTATTTAGTATATATTGTTCGAATAAATGAAATGAAAAGCACTTTACATAACTTAAGAAACATGGATGTTTCGAAAGCATGGATGGAACAAGTTTTGTAAACTTGATAGTGGCTTCTCGTTGAAAGTCTTTGTCTGTCCTTCCAGGATGAAGGACTTGGATAAAAGATTAATATCGAGTATGCTTATAATTCTATGTGATGAAAGGGAAATTTACACGTTTAAGTATCGTAAAGGTTTTCAATAAATAGAACAATTTTACACATTAACTGTTATTAGACTTGTTTTTATAGGTTTGAATATCAAATCTGAATACAATTGAAAATGATATTGCAAACAAAATCACAACTACTTTGTTCAGAAAAGAGTTTCATTTAAAATGATAATAAGATCTGTTCGAGCACGATCAATTATGCGATAGTTTGGTTAATCTTGGAGACTATGCTACTTCTTTCTAACTCTCGATGACAACATGTCTTTTGTTCTATAGTTGTATTTGATCTAATTCCAATTATTGGTCGAGTCCAATCATTACCAAATATATCATTTAATGTTCGAGTGCAACATGGTGTAGCAATAATACATCGCTCTGTTCGATTAAATCGCATTGGTAAATGAATACTAAGTAGACGATCAAGGAAAACATTTGTACAATGATTACAATTATGTCGAAGTAAATCATCTATCCAAGAAAATTAATGTTTCACATTTAAGTGAAGCATATACTTACAATCTTTACGAGTAAATTTATCATACATATCAAAAAGAATTTTTGTTTCAATTTCATTTTGTGTCATTTCAATCATACCCATTTTCTTCGATAAAATTAATCGACCTAAATGAGAATAAGGTCGAGATTTACAAATACCATCACCAAAATAATATTCGACACCATATATTTGTAAACTCTATAGAATTTTATTGATTATGAAATTTCATTAAGATTTAACTAACTGTATGATAAGCACATTATTTGAACAAACAATTAACTGTTGTATATTCGGCAAGTAAATCATAGAAATTTAAAAGAACAGGTTCCAAATGTTTGGTTGTACGATTAGAAACAATGATTGGTAGATCTTTCATAGATTGGAATCTTTTGTTCTGTACTTTATCAGGATAAAGAAGTGAATATAAAATTGATTGTTTTGATTTCAACGAAATCATAATAATAATAATTAAATATGGGCGCAACTTTTTTTTTAAATTGATGATATTTCGACGTTTCACTCTAAGTTTTATATTAAAATTATGGTTTTTAAAATAGATTAGAATAAATATGTTTAACTTTTGATTGAATTTTATCTTTTTTTTTTACATTCTTTCACTAGCAAAGTCTCTAGTGTTAACTGTTCTTGTTTTAATGAATCATGATAGAAAATCCGAAAGAGGGAATAAATAACAAAGAAGACAAATTGATTGTTCTTTGGTTTGGTTTTCTAGGTGATAGCTTTTATTCTTTCAATCAAAGAAGGAAGTCTCGTTTGATCGTGAATTGGCTCATTCAACTTTTGTCACCAAAAATCCAGCTATTCTATATCAAATGATAGATCACGTTGAGATTAGTATTTTTGCTGACGGAATCAATAATTTTTTACGGACGAATAAAGGGTGTGACTGAGATGAAAGATGAAACTAACACCTACACTCTACCCACATCTACATAGTTTATCTAGTATTAAAAATTAGACATTGACTCTGACTTGATTTATCTAGAGGTTCTGCTTGATTGCTTATCACTGCAATATCACTATTTCTGTATTCAATAAAGAAACACATGTACATGAGTTGTAACGTATATAATTATGCTAGCACGTGAGAGAAGATCTATAAATGGGTCGATTATTGATGAAAACCAATCTTATTTTTCTATTTGAAAATTTTTTAGAGCCTGCATCTTTTTTATTCACGCCTTTCCACTTATGCATCTTCATATAATTAGGTTTCTGGGAATCATCAAATAGATATCGAGAATTTTTTCACTTTACATTTGAAACATATCAACTCAACAGAGCACATTCGATTGAAAAGTTCTCAGAAGAATCTCAATGAGATAAAAATTTGGAAATATGATAGATTAATTCCTCGTGTATTAAACATAATGACTCAGATAGGTCAACATAGAGAAATGTTTGTAACGGTCTGGAATACTGTGTTACTTGCCTATCAATTCACTCTGATTATGCTTGACTCTCCTAGTCATCTTTCGTTACTCATAATCTGGCTTCACACGATTTTAGAAAATAACATTAAAAATTTTCCTCATAATAATGAACCATTTTGTTCCCTTTGGAGTTTGTTATTACAAAAAAATTACGTTCATTGGTCAATAATAAAATGCGTTTATTGAGTACAAATGTTATACTCATATTTGGAGTGCAATGCAATCGAAATCGCTCTTTTTAATTCTACTATCTTTCATACACATCGATATGCCTGTAGATTTGAATATGAATGAACATACGACTCTTAACATCAGCTTGAATACTGTACAAATGAGTTTTTGAACTACGGTATTATGAACTTTCAAACTCGAATCGCACAATTTTCCGTGAATGCTCTGGATTCTGAATCGATATGAAGTCCATTTGCATAGAAGTCTTTTTATCTTTAAGTGCAGCATTTTATTCCAGATTATACTTTCTTATAGACAGCCGGGAATTATTTTTTCTTTATCTTGTAAAGGATAGTTACGAAAATACGAAGCATATCAATATCCAGCTGAGATGGCTACATCGTGTTTCACATTTTGAGCCCGCATGACTTGCACTTGATTGATCGATGTTGGTCTTTCATTCGAAGAATATCCTCTTTCAAGTTAATTCCTAAATCTTTTCTCATCTTCCAATCATCAGGAAGAGATCGGTTTTGTTCCAGTTCCAAGGTAAAGAATTGTTCACTATTTAGTCGATTTGTTGTCGAAAATAATTATTTTTTTCGCTTAGATAACCATAATATGCATTTCATGATACGGAATTTTTTCATTTATTTGGAAAAACGACTTCATTTTTAGAGGATGATAATCTTAAAAATGAATATTGACGATGATGTAAAAATGATAAAGAGAGACCTCACTTTTTTGGCACATTCATTTGGTAACGACTGATTTCCGTATTTCTGTAACCATTTGAATTCTTCTTGAACTTTACTTTTTTCATTCCAAGGTCATTTTCAATCTATTATGTTATTCGTTTGGAAAAATTAACAATTGTACAAGTATTCTAAGATAGTGGAAGTAACGTTCCAAAATAAAACTTTGATCAGCATCGACTCGTACATCATCTTCATCTGTAACAATGTGTGTCGGTGTACGTAATTTATTCGGTTGATAAATCGGGGATTCACTTTGATAGATTTGTGGTACCTTCCAAGGAAAACCTCCGTGTAAATAACTGAGAAGTAATGGCAAATTCATAGCACTCCACCAAAAAGGTTCTCAATGCCGCCAGCATCCGACAGAGCAGCAATGAAACGTGTCATTTGAGTGATGAGTCAATTCGTTAGGAAGTCACCGTAGCTGTAACCCCAGACAGCACGCATTTTCGGGTCGGCAATGCCATCTTTCGTCAGTTGATGGATTTCCATCAGAATGTCTTCACCGGACAATGAGAGTCGTGGGCGACGAATTTCGCCAAAGCCCATCGATACTCGGTGATTACTTTCTAAGACTAGTTAACCTTCGATGGCAGTCGTAGGAGCCCATTTGTTCCGATTGGCTTGAAACTCATTTAGACTTGCTGCATTCGGACCGCCGTGAATAAGAAGTAATAGAGGCAAGTTTTTTGTAGTGAATTTTTTCGCAGTGTAGGGTGAGGTATGTGAGAGTTGGGGTGAAGCCTTCAATTCATCGCAGCGACACACAGCCACACCTAGAGCCAAACTCACACTCATACTCATTCACATGTGCACTGTCGATCTTCCTCTTCATAGAGCAGCTCATATATAGTTACATTGGTGAGTTATATTTCTTTGATGAAAATTTACATAGAATGGATCTCACTCTATGTCGTGATTAAAAGATTAAATAAGCTGTGTGAAAAACATGGTTCTTGTTTATGACAAAAAAACATATTCAGCAAAGTAGAACATTAGGAAATGGACGTGATTCAGTCTTATTTAAGAACTCTACTACTACGTTGAGGGTACCCAAATTTGTTATCTTGAGTATTGTCACCATGCGAACAGGCGAATTAGGATCCGTATTATGGGCATATACTGTCGTTGTTATATCTGTTCCATTATTAATGCACCGACTTTCGTACGTGAATGAATCGACTTGTTGCCACACCATGCAATTGCTAGTGTCAGATTTAGGATTAAGAGATACACAATTGTTTTCTTTAATAATTGCCGTCGCAAACATGCCGTCTGAATAATATTCGATATATGCTATGGAGTTGCCACCAGAAAGGCTATACGAACTCCAAACTGCGTAGGCAGAACCAGAAGACATTTGAAGCACTCGAAGAGCCAAAATTCCTATTAACTCTGTAGTCACTTCGTCAAAAGTTGTAAGAGATCGAATCGTGTATGTGTGATTGATGCCAGCACCTGGAAGCATGTGACTTGGTAAGAAAACAAAAAATTCGCCGTAGCATAAGACAAAGAATAGGCTGAGCATTGGAATCAAAATCATTCTGAGACAGGCCATTGCTGCAAATGTTTGTGCTTGCTCGTAGCATATGCGAAACTATTTATTTATACGACAAGAAAACATTGTTTGCGTTTATGTATCCATGACACAAGAATATTTTCTCCGTCGCCAAATATAAGCTTACAAGATCAGAAGAAAGTAATTTCATTGCTTTAATGTGGCGCACACTTGAACGGGTATAACGCACTTTTAATGATGTTGTTTCTTTTTTTAGATATGTAAAAACGTTGGCCAACAAGGCTGCAATATTTTTTCTTTTCGCGGAACGGTTTGTGCAATGTAATGGAAATTTTAATTAGATTCACTTGAGTGAATTATTCATTGATCAAATATACGTAGTTGAGAGGAACAGAATAGAGACGAACTGTAGAGCACCTTTTCAATATCGAAAAAACTTACCAATACACTTTGAAGCGAAAAAAGAATGAGCGCCTATATGCAGGCTAGGGTGGCTGTCGGTGTATGTGTTTGTGGGGTAGATCTGAATGGAACTGCAAGGGCGTAGGTACCGACTTTATTAGAAAAGAAAATGGCTGTAGGTGTGGATATAGGTATAAGTATTTATGTTAACAGAAGCACTACATCCACACACTCATGCCCACACCCACACCCCTACACCCACACCCTAAATATGCAGATGTGCATTGCTTTTTTTGAAATATTGCTCCTGAAAAAATCATAAGTGCAAAAGTATATTTTTTGAAAATGCTTATTTTAATTGTTTTATATCAACTTTTTTATATTCATATACTAACTACTCGATTACATAGTAGTTTTCTCTTATTTTGCATAAATTTGTCCTTTGAAAAATATTATAAAGCCCCATATTTTGTTTTGAACCATTAGCCAATGCATAGCCACCACTGTGATAAGCTCTTCCTGCAGTTACATGATTAAAATTATTATCACTGACACACACCTTTTCAGTGAGTGTTGTAGCTTGAACTTCAATAGATTTTTCGCTTTCAGATGAGTCTTTTATCGATGAAACTTGATATTGATAATCAGTTGCTGGACGCACATCTGTATCAGTATATGATGTGAGGGTAACACTGGTCAACTTATTCCCATTACGATAAATATTATATGCTGTTACACCTGAAACGGCATTCCATTTCAAAGTGATAGAATTACTGGTTATATCTATAGCTATTAAACCATTCGGCGTTTCTACAGCTGGTGGTATACCCGTTGTTTTACCAGTTACTGAATTTGAAGGTGCACTTTCAGAACCTGCTGATGAAACAGCCTTGACGGTGTACGTATATGTTGTACCTGAGTTTAAATTATTATCCGTAATTGTTGTTCCAGTTATTATTGCACCGTTAACTTTACCACCATTTCTATAAAGATTATAACCAGTTGCACCTGAAACTGGTCTCCATCCAAGAGTAACTGAATTGTCTGTAGTAGCAAGAACCTGGAGTTCCGTCGGTGCATCAATTGGATTGAAACCATTCGTTATACGATCAATCATTTTTTTCGCAGCGGTCGATTGTTTACCACTTTTAACACTAAAATCATTTCCATACCATCCAACCCAGTCCCAACATCCGTTCGGGTTTGGAATTGAGGCTCCACCACCCATGTTTATTGTATTTGTGGCCACTGCTTGTGGATATAAAACTATGATATTATTGGTATCAGCCCAACGATTAAATCCTGTATTTTTAACGTACTTGTCACCAATTTTTTCGTAGCCTTGTAGACAACCATGGTAGGCAATATGTAATTTACAAGTATCTCCATCAGAACAGCTTTTAGGTACATAAACCCATCCTGTAGTGCTCATTCCATTACTTCTTGCATTAGTTATAAATTCTTCTTGATTAAATTCAATAAATTTTCCACTTAATGCTCCATTATTTCGTGGTTTCAAAGGTCCATAAATATGTTGGAGTATAGCACCTGCTCCATCGAAGGCACAATTACTTATATAAGGACTACTGGTAGATCCGCAGCCATTATTACCACTACTATCAAAATCAGTGGGAAATGTATGTGCAGAGTTTAAATTGTTTTTAAATACAACATTTGTACTTGGAATAAATTGACCATCAGTCACATAATATTTATATAATTGAGCCATTACCGAAGGACCCACAGTAGAATCGGAAGTTCCAGAGATCATGTAAACTTTGTGTTTTGCTAAATTTTTTATGTCATCAATTTTATTTCCACTCCACGATTTTGTATTTGAAATAGATTGAGTAATCGATGGGCTACTTGTGTGCATACAACCAGTGTAACTTGTTTGTCCTGCACAGTTATAGGGGCCACCTGCTATGATTCCGGCACCTTTTATTGAAGCTGAAAATGCCACTTGTATTTGAGTGGCAAAATATGCACCGGAAGATAAACCGGAGACCGATGTTTCACTTGGATCCACATTATATGACGATAATTTCTAGAGAGATCAACTTTATTTATTAAACATGGTAAGAATAATTGAGAATAAATGAATTTCTTTTTATTCAAGCGAAAAATTCTCTCCATATAACTCTTAGATCTAAACCTTCATAGATTAGGCACTGATAAAGGATACTATGATCAAATTAATCATATTATCTTCTAGAACAGTAATTTCAGATAAAGAAGTTAAAATCTATCAATTAAGATGGGATGAAATCTTACCTCAGCTGCATAACAACAGCTGATCAAAAAAAAGATCCATGATATGAACATGAAATTCTTTGTTGTTACCAAATTTGTGTATGGAAGTTCTGCTCGGTTGAGTAAGTTGTTTTATTTTACTGAATAAAAAAGTCTTAAAAATCAATAAAACAATCTAAAACAAGTATAGATAGAATTAAAGATAATTTTAATATAATTTAGAGAATATACACCATAGTAGATGATATCAGCAAATACATAATGATAGCAACAAACACCTATTGAAAAAGGATCCAAGGAATACTTGCTGAACACAATAAAGCGTAATTTTCTTGCTCTTATGGACGAGGCAACACTCAATGGTATAGATATGATTCACGATGATTTTCAGGAATGGAAAGGACTAAACTTCTTCAGACAGAAATATCTATTTGCTAAAATCTGAGAAATAACTTTCATATAACCGCTGAAAATGTTCGTCGACACAACGTAAAACTGGAAGAGACTAGTACACTCCTACCTCTCTCTCATCTCGAACGATAAGTATAGATCTGTAATCTCACATACCGTACGGTGCCAAATATCGAAGATACGTCTTCTTGCATCACTCCTGGTATCCTCTAGACGTCCTTCTAAAATCAATCACTTTTTGTTAATTAATTTTTTGCTATTTTTATCATCGTTTAACTTTAGACTTATTCGAAATTTAACGGTAAAGAAATCTCTTTTGGTTGGAAAGAAACAAACAAGTGAGTTTGTGCTACTGTTGAGAATTTCGTACTTACGATGATAATTGCAACTATTTGAATCGATTACAAATGGCTAATATGTCGCAAAAAACATTCTTATATATCTATCAAGTATGATATTTTGTCGATTTCGTCTAAGTGTATAGATACTGTTTATTGCTTTGTCATTAATCATTTCAAAGTAGAGTATGCATGCAACAGTATTAAATCAATTAGCAAACGACTATCAAGTGTCAAAAATATTCGTAAATCTTGATAAAATAGAGCTTAAACTTTTTATCGACAATTAAAAGTACAATAATATGCAATCAATAGAAATTTGATATGTTGTTTTTCGCAATACGAACAATGCACATTTTCAATCACGTGCATTGTAAATTATTGGGTAGCTTTGAGGATGTAATGCGAAACCTTCAGTAGTTTTAAAATGTTAGTGCTATTCAGATGAAGGATGTAGGTGGAGATTTAGATATTCTTTTTATCTATGCACACACTCTACGTTGCTCTGTCTTTCTGTATCATTTTCATAGGATGTGGGTGTGGGTGGGATATGTGAGTGTGGGGTGTGGGTGGGTGTGGATGTGGGTGGGATGTGTGGGCGTGGGGTGTGGGTGGGATGTATGAGTGTGGAGTGTGGGTGGGTGTGAATGTGGGTGGGTGGGATGTGTGGATGTGGGTGGGTGGGATGTGTGGATGTGGGTGGGTGTTGATCTTCTCCTCATTCACAATCACACCAACACAAGCAGATCCACACTCTTCAGACTCACACCCACGTCAACACCTAGACTGTATGACTCTCCTTTCAGTAGAGGGAATGATGAAAAAAATGAAGTTCCTGAAAGTTAGTCTTTGTTTGGTTTAATTGCAGGCTTGAAATTCAAGCTCTTGTGTCAATACTATTGATCGACGAGAATGAGAAAAACTTGAAGATAGAATCCATGTTAAGTAATCAATTCTTCCCTGGTTTTATTTGTGCCTATGCAAATTAGATTGCGATGTCAGTATTCATCTTCAAAAAGAAGGAGAAAGAAAAAAGGCGCAGTAGAACATAGTTATTAACGATGAGCTGATCTTTTTCATGCTTAACTTGTAGTATTGCAACTAACATTGGTTTACAAATATAACTCATTGTAGATAAACTAACAAACAAAAAAGCACATGCAAACAGGAATAAAATGTGAAAGCGCATACCAGTGATAGTTCTCTAGTCTCCCTTTAGTTTATTTGCAATTTTAAAAATAAAACTTGTTTCTCAAGATCATCGGTCACCGAAGAACAACAAAAAGAAAAAAAACCTGATGTCATAAATTTCATCGATAGAATTTAAATACTAACATATTTTGAGCAAAGACATGATTCAAATCATGTCCCATGCATATTTGAGGATTGATCCTCTGGGTATTGCAACTTCAACTTGTTGTTATGAAATTCGCAAAAAGATACTTTCATTACATGATAAATACAAGATCAAAGACGAATCGGATCAAGATGTCTTCATTGTTCGATCAAAGCTGTTAACATTCACTGACAAAATTATTTTGGAAGATTTGGATGGACAGTAAGTTTATCGATTATTTTTTTTTATGGAGCCTTACTTTATTCAAGAACGATGAGTCAGATGCATTGAGTGAAACTCTATGCTGTCCATGCATATTATATTAATAAAACTAAATACTTAATAATATTTATCTATGATAGGAAATCTGAGAGAGCTCTGAGAAATTAGCTCAAGCTAATCTATTGTTTTAGGAAGCATACTGGGTTTGTCGAAAGATTAATCTATCAATTGATAGACATGTACCTATCTTTTGATTATTACTCGACATCACCAAATAGTCATTATGTATTGACAATATGATAGTATTCCTTCGGAACATGATTTATCTAATTTTTGGATCCACCTCTCATGATATTGTCGTTTGATAAATTGACAGACAGTCGAGTACACTTGATGAATTCATTGTCTACTGAAAATAAGGCTAATAATGAAAAGTCGAGTGAAAACAACCGACTAGGCTCACGTGAACAGCCTCCATTGTAATATTAGTTATGTCTTATTTCATGAAGAATTGATGAAGGCTGTGAGCTATGAAGAACTAGGCTTTCTATGAATGAAAATCTGGGAACGCCTGTTCTGAAGATATATAGTAAGGAAAGATTACATTTTTATCGCATTTTAGACAGAATCTTTCAATTGGCTAAGCCTATGTTGTTTACAGAAAAGTGTTTCAGAATCGATTTTAGTTCCAACATTTATCAATTGAATTCTGGCATTGCTTTAAAGAAAAGACTACAGATCGCCAATGCAATTCTGTCTACTGAGTTTTTTTCATAAATTTTTACTAATATCGAAGTATATGTTACAGGGTTCAGCCTAAAATTCTTAGTGATATTCTCACCTGAAATATTAGAAAAAAGTGTCGATATAAGACTAAGTGTCTCATCGATCTGATAAATCCAATGGATAAATCATCAAGCATACAGTTTGAACATCAGATAATATCTTCTTTTCTCGTTTGCGACTGACATAGTGTCAATTTCGTCTAGACGGTTTGCATGATGGTTTTCCATCTTGAGTCAGGTTCTGTTTGAACGCCTGCAACTTCTCTTTGTAGTGGACTAATAAAGATCGAGGAAGAGCGGCTTCATTTACATCCAACATATAAAATATTGTCAGCATGTGATGGTGATGTAGGTCGGCAACTAGTATTAGTTAGAAAGAAATTTTCTGTTGATTCAATCTATGGAAAATATAAATTAGAAGCACTGAATTTATTAGATCGCTCATTCATGTTAACAAAAGAAAGACAGACAATGACAATTCTAAACAAAAAATACGACACTGTGGCTAACGCCTACGGAGTAGAAATCGATGATAATGAAGATCATGCATTTATTATAGTGCTGATAATTATTAACAGTCACTCGCTGTAGTTTTACTAACGTTTGAAATCGATTTAAGTAACAATTGACTTCGTATGAAATAAAAAAAAATGCACTTGTCTTAATTGTGTAATTCATCTGAAAATGTTATTGTTTCTGTCTAAGGATGAATTTAATTGGAACGATTTGAAAACTTATGTATTGTCATTCTGATAATAAAATGAATATGTTCGTCGGCATAGTACATTTTATATCTAGTTTTATGTGATACATATTCATCTATGAAATGCATGATTTGTCATTGAGTGAGGAATAAAATTGTATAATCGATAGTAAAATTCTTAAATCAATTACGAATAATTTAGATGTCGGCGAAGATTTGACCAAGATGCACATTGCCAATTTCGATTTTCAATGTGCATTATTTCTCATTTCTACAACGATCAAGCCAGAGGTCAAACATCGTATCCATTCTGGTTGTTTTGTAATTGACCAACCAATCATTGTCGATCATAAAAAATTTATATGATTATTTGAACTTAGTTTGAAATTCAGAAGCTATAATTGCCTGGATGTCGATGACCTGAAAATTCCTATACATGCTCCACATTCACAGTGCGACTGTTCATTCAAAAACATGCTTTTCATCTTCAATGAAATCAATATCATAATTGTAAAAGACGTATATAACTTAGAAAGGATACAACTTATTTGCACGTATAAGTATGATACATTTCAAGCTGTTATTGGATAAAGTTCTACTGAATCGTATAATCCGATAACTGAGTTAGCGATTCACGTAACAAATAGGCCGATCAGATACTGTTTCCTTTGGAGATCTATTTTGCCCGTTTAGTCAGTTCTTGTTTGTCAATTCTGGGAAAGA